ATTTCACCTAAATCATTTAATTATACCTGACTGCAAAAGGAACACTTCCTAGCCTTTTTGCATCAGTACATAGCTGAAACATTATCCACTCATCATCATTATAATCAGTTCTGCTTCCACGTTTGGAGATTGGGGCCAGCAAAGAAAAGTAGAAATCACTTATTGGCCTCTCATAGTTCCTTCCATTGATGCCAAAGCAAAAAGATATGCTAACAATTATTCGCCAGGAAACAAAACCATTTACACACTGTTTTCCTGCAAGGGCAATACAGCAATATTTTAAACATATTTTCTGAAACACCAACTCTAAGCCTGCATTTATAAACAGTTCCAACTTTTTAAAATTGTGGAAGACGCTGTGGTGCGGTCGTGTTATTCTTGGAAGAAATAGATCTAAACTGAGGGGGATTCTTGTGATGTTGATCGCCCTCAACGAAAAGACACATCCGACCACTTTCGGCACTTTCAGCACTTTCGTGGTTCAGTCTTTTTCGCCCCATCGTAGAGTGCTGACTCGACGAAGGTGATTCTCCAACCTGTTGCGAGCCACTAAATCTTTTCACACAAGACCTTACGATCGACAATTCCTGCGAAGAAAGTGATGCCAGATACAAAGAACGGAATTCTTTAATATTCAAGACATTCGTAATGATATGCGAAAGTAAAACACGTGAAATTATTACATTCCTGGTGATTCAGCGCATGCAGGCATGAGCACAAGGATGTTATATATAAGACTATAAATACTGAGTTCAAGCAGAATAACACTCCTTTCGTGCTTAGTCTCAGCCAGCGGAGCAGTGAAGGGAGGATCGGCCCACCCACCCACCCACCCTGACCAAATTCGCATGAGTCAAAAATACTGCTACCCTAAGCCGAGCTGTTCCGCTTGGCTTAGACCGCTGAGCAATATTATTTACCATACCTTATTCTAACTGAGGATGAATAGAGTGTTATGGAATAGGCTACTATTCTTCACCTTTCAGTTGCAACAGCGATAAGTGTTGCGCCGTGAGTCAAACAATATGGAGAATTGGGAGAATCCTCCATGTCTTCCGTTTTAAACACCGCTGGTCACAGCTTTTTCACATTTTCGCGCCAGCACAACTGTACATTACAATGTAAACAATTCGTTGCGTGTC